CCACCCCTCCACTTTAGCGTACCTGAATATTCATAGGCTGAGTCTGCAGATTTGACAAGGGCTCGGCTGATAGTCTTTACCTAGGACCCTATTGTTCTGCACGGTGCCGTGGCGCGGCGGGGCGGGGCGGGGCGTGGCGGGGGCGCGGCGAGGGCGTTCCGACCTGCTAGGCGGCGACGCGCGCCCTAGAGCACGTACGAGCGCCCCGCCGCGCCCCGCCACGCCCCGCCACCGATACGTCACGCCACCCTGACAGCCGCCCCCGCGCACCGGTGGCGAGGCGTAGTGCGGCGGTGCGGCGCAGGGGGCAGCACGGGCTCCAGCCCACCCGGGGAGTATTTTGGCCTTAATCACAAAATGCGGCATATTCCAGACTATTCGCACTGGAAGTACAAACAGAGCAAACTCACTAATTTTCTTTCTTTTGATATTTCGACGTTTGTGTACTTTATTTATTATTCTTTTCTTAGGTGTGATGTTTGAAACTGTCATGGACTGTGGGATCGCAGGCGAGCTGTGCTTTTGTAAGTGTGTGGCGTACACGATACTTGCGTTGTGACGACGTGACGTCAAGAAAATGGCTCCAGACCGGTCGAAAGCGCAGAGCCTGCACACCTTCGGAACAAACGCATTCATCTTCTATCCATGGCGCAGTGCGAATAATTGTTTACAAGAGAGCTTCTATAGAAAATAAATAAATAAATATTTATTTAACGATATGATAGTGTTTTGGTGTTTTGACAAGTTTTAATGAAAATTTATCGAGGGGGAAACGACTGTTAAACTTTGTGTCAGCCGGATTACAGATTACCCGGAGTACCTCCGGAGTGTCCTCCGGATTACGTTGCTTTTTCTCTAGGATTACCCCGGATTACCCGCAAAAATTTCCCGGATTACCTCAAAATTCCCCCGGATTACCACGGATTTTTTAGAATTTCCTCGGATTACCCCTGCCGGAGTGTTTTTGCACATTTTTGTAGCTGCTCTAGGCATCGTGCAGGACGTAAGGGTTCAGCTCGACGTCATCACGGTCGCCGTCGTTGGTCGCGATCCACTTCGCGGCGGCGGACGGCGGCCCCACCCGGCACAGCGCGGTCAGTCTCTGATCGCTCCCGAGCGGGCAGCAGACCACCGGGGCACGCCAGCGGCGCACCAGCACGCACGCACTCACGCACACGAACGCACACACGAGCACGAGCACCACCCCAGAGTCCCACAGCACGTACACCGACACGGCGGGCCGGTCGGCGCGCTGGTCCGTCGCGGTGGTGACGCCGCCGGGTCCCGGGGCCGGGGCGCAGTGCGGGGCCGCGGCACTGCCGGCCGAGGTGCCGTTGGTCCCAGACATCGAGATGCGACCTGTCGAGGGAACGGTGCTGCTCGTCGTCGGCGGGGTGGTGCTGCTCGTCGTCGGCGGGGTGGTCCAGCTGGCCGCCGCATGCTGGACGCAGCCGCAGCTGCACCTCACCCACTCCATGTGGCACAAGTTCCTGCAGAACTGGTTGACGCAGTTCTTGCTACACTCTTCGCTCTTGCTCTCGGTGCAGCCCCTCTCGGCGCTGCATTTGCTGAACAGGTCGTGCGTGTGCTCGTCCAGCCCGCCCGTCGGCAGCCCCGCGCAGCGACACGCGCAGTTCCAGCCGCACATCGACCTGCACGTCCGGTCGTCCGCGCCGCACTCGGTGCAGTTCCCGTCGTACGGCGCGACGCACTGCAACACGGGGAGGGAGGGTCAGTCAACCGGGCGAGAGGAACGGCTAGAGACGGCTGGAGACGGCTTCCGGCTCGTGCCTACAGACTCACCTGCCGATCGTCGAAACATTTACTCCACTCTTGAACCTCCACGATGTAGCGGCGGCGACGGCCAGCGGCGGCCTCCGGCGGGCCGCACGGCCCGGGGTAGGCGACGGAGAGTCCTGGGGGCAACAAAGTCGATGTTAGAGCTGGCCTCGCACTGGAACTCCAGGCCGCAGGGACTCACCGGCGCACTGCAGCTGGCACTCGCTGGAGTACGTGCGCCCGTCACTGCCGCACACGGGGGAGTTCTCGGGGGAGGACGGCGGGCAGGTGCAGAGCGCGGCCAGGGCGACCGGCAGCAGCAGCACGGTGGCCAGCATCGCGCTGAACAACATCTGGAGCAGGTGCGTGGGGAGGCGCAGGGCGCTGCACCAGTACGTCGGCATGGCGTGTCCCTCCTGGAGTGTGGCCGCGTGCTGCGGCAGGGCCTCGTCGGTGTCGCTCCGTCGACTGATGGCTCGCCTCGCCGCGTCCTCGGCGGAGCGCTCCATGCGGCCGCCCAGCGCTGTGATAAGCAACTAGAACACTCCAGCCGCTATTTCCCCCGCAACACCCACGACGAGATAATCGCGCACGTCTGTGCAAAATACACTGTAACTTACATGGAGGCTATACCTACTCGTGTTGCGAGGGGTCGCCAACTCACCTCAGCAGTGTACGGAGTATTATAGTATTATGTGGTATTATGGCACGTTTTAAGGGATTTTATGTCATATCATTTGATATTTTGAAGTATTATAGACTACTATCAGGTATTATAAGGTATTATGGGTCTATTTCACGGTATTTTGTGACATATTATGGAGTATTATAAAGGTATTATGGGACCCCTGTACGGAGTATTATGCGAGTTGGCGACCCCTCGTCGTGTTGTGCAACAACAGTTAGTTCTACCACAAAACAGTTGCTTCAGCAAGCTCGGGTGAACTTACAAGACAAGACAAACAACTTTCTTGTTTAGGAACAAGGTGCAGTAAAAGCGTTGTGCATAACGGTGCATACACAGAATTTCGTTCGTGTAAACGCATATTTGTTGGGTTCCCTTATGAATTTACTCACCCGTTGCGGGAGCCTTTTACACAAAGTACTCAATTCTTGAGAAGTTGACAAAAATTAATCATGCCGATTTCTTTCATCCACGGTAAAAACAATTTCGTTTTTTTTTTTAGTATAATGGAAAAATTTCGAAGAGCTCTTTGATTTGAAGCAAACTCATCAGAGAAGTCCCCGCAATGAATTTGGGATCTGCCCCGAGCGATTTTCCCTCAGCATTTTGAGAAGTTTCCACACTATATGAGTCGAAATCTGAGGAGTTTTTCTCGGCCATAAGGAGTTAACAGAGTTCTTCATAATTTTCTTGTTTCCTCAAAAAATCAGACATTGTTTTTACAGTGCGAGTGGAGATTTTAGACTTATTTGGTAGACTTTGGTTACCCATTGAAGAAGGTGATAAAAATTACAAATTTATTAAATTTTGATGGTATCAGAATTTTTGCAAAACATTCTTTGAAATTCTTGTTTTTGTAGTTTTTGTCCCTCCTTTCTGACTAAAATATGTTTCCCTTTCATAAACTTTGCAGGTGCTGATCTAGGCTAGGCGTCATGCTGGAGGTAAGAGTTCAGCTCGACGTCATCGCGGTTGGTCTCTTTGGTCGGGGTCCTCTCCGCGGCGGGCGGTCCCACCCGGCACAGCGCGGTCAGTCTCTGGTCGCCTCCCAGCGGGCAGCAGACCACCGAGGGGCGCCAGCGCACCAGCACGCACACGCTCACACACACGAGCAGGCACACGCAAACGCTCACGCACACGAGAACGAGCACGAGCACGAGCCCAGAGCCCCACGTCAAGTTCACCGACACGGCGGGCCCAGCTGACCCGGCCTGCTGGTCGGCGCGATACTCCGTCGCGGCGGTGACGCCGGCCGCAGGTCCCGGGGCCGTGGCACTGGTGGTCAAGGTGCTGTTCGTTGCGGCAGTGGCGCTGCTGCTCGTCGCAGGCGGGGTGGTCGTACTTGTCGTAGGCTCTGTGGTGGTGCTTGTGGTAGGCGGTGTGGTGATACTAGTAGGCGCTCTGGTGGTACTTGTGGTTGGCGCTGTGGTGGGCGCTGTGGTGGTACTTGTGGTAGGCGCTCTGGTGGTACTTGTGGTTGGCGCTGCGGTGGTACTGGTGGTAGGCGCTGCGGTGGTACTTGTAGGCGCTGTGGTGGTACTTGTCCTGGTGTCCGCCACGTGCTGGATGCAGCCGCAGACGCACCTTGTCCACTCCATGTGGCACAAGTTCCTACAGAACTGATAGCCACCACAGTTCTTCTTACACTCATCGCTTTTACTCTCGGTGCACTCCCTCTCCTGGTAGCACTTCCACCACCGCTCGTTCGAGTCCCAGTCCAGCCCGCCCGTCGGCAGCCCCGCGCACCCGCACGCGCAGTTCCAGCCGCACAGCCTCCTGCACTTCAAGTCGTCCGCGGCGCACTCGCTGCAGTTCTCTTCAGCGCACTGCAACACGGGGAGGGTCAGTCAGCGGGGAGGGGTGGGGCGCTCCCCCCCCACTCCACTCTTGAACCTCCACGATGTAGCGGCGGC